GCTGTCAAGGTCATGAAAACCAAGGAAAGGCTGAGAAACTGTCACAGACCAGAGAAGACTGCGGAGACACGACAACTAAATGCAATGTACTCTGGATTGGATCTTGGAACAGAAAAATGACATTAATGGAAAAATTGGTGAAATCCAAATAATGTCAGGAGTTCAGTTAAATAGCAACATACAAATACAAAAGTCAGCTTCTTAGTTTTGACAGATGTACCATGGTAATGTAAGATGTTTACAGTGGGGGAACTGGGTGAGAGGTATACAGAAACTCTTTGTACTATCTTTACAACTTTTCTATAAATCTACAATTATTCTAAAAGTTTTTTTAACATTACAGGTTTGAGTATCTATTCATTTTTGTAAGGAGAAGATCCATGGGCTTTTTATCTCCAAAGTGGCCCATGATCCAAAAATACTTAAGAGCCACTGTCCCAGGCTTCCAGCTGTTTTCCTTAACCACTACGGTCTAAGTACCCTGCCTCCTTCCTATGTAACCCACACCCTCCCTCAAAAAACAAACTTTAAATTGGTTTTAAATCTAGGATCACATTTATCTGAAACTTCTGTTAAGACCTGAAGTGGAGTGGCATAAATTCTGGAGCCACATTCTGGTGACTTGCTGGAAAAATGAAGACCAAAATAAACAAAAGAACTGAGGTTTAGAATGGCTAGCCAGAAGACCAGGAAGGTCTAAGACTGGGCATGGTGGCTTTCCAGTCATGGGGGCAAGAACAAAGGCAAGATTATAAAACACACTAGATGGAACTTGATCAGAAACCTTTATTCTGGTCCTCATCATTCATAAAGCAACCTATGCAAAACATGTTCTTCATCTCTGCCCTAAGCAGCAGCAGCAGCAGCTGCATCCAGCCCTGAGTGGAAGGCAAACACAAGCAGTGGAAGACCTTGTACAGAAAAATTAACAGGTGAGATCTCTGACTATCCCAGCTTAGACGAAGGTAGAACAGAACGAGTGCATGTGTGCAATATTCCAAAGACAATGTTCTTCAAAGCTGAGGCCTTCAGGGAGGGGCCGGCTGAAGGAGGCCGGTAAAGGCTCACAAAACTGCACAGCTCCGCAATCAATCCAAAGTACCTGGAAATAACAAAGAGCGATGTGTACAGCAAGGTACCTCAAAAGCTATGTAAAAAACTAAGCAAAGTTAAAATGGAAGCTGCAGCAGTTCTCTTAAGACCAGAATATTAGTTTTGAGGAATATCCATCCAAAAGGTCCCAGGGGAGAAAACTTGTCATTATGGAAGGATGGACAGTTGGTAATTAGCATAGTGGTCTGCAGAGTTGGAATTAGATGGGAAAGGCGTGAAGAAGTTGTGTTAGTTAATGCGAATTCGTGTGGATTATACAACGGGTGAGTGATACAAAATAAATGAAGTTAAGTTCTCTAAGGAAGAAAGTTCCAGTACAAAATGAGGGACTGAGTCCACAAGTTTGTACACCCTACCTCCCAAGATTCCATTCAAGAAAAATGGTTTTAAAAAGTATAAATCTACAACAATAAAGAATGAGAATTTCAACAAAAAGCTGAATAGTATTTTTAAAATAGAGCCGAGGAAAAATCCGTCTAGACTGAACACTGAGTGGCTGCAGCCAAGGAGGGAGCCACCTACCTAGGAGAACCATGGGAGGTTTCAGATGCAGACGCCAGGAATGACAGAAAGAGAAGTGAGACACGAGGCTAAAAGGGTTTAATACTTGAAGGTCTACATGCAAACAGCTGAGCCCATACTCCCACAATCTCCCCTGCATGCAGCACTATCAGAACACAGGTATTTAAACTCAAGGAGGAAAAAAATCAGAGGGCTCTCTTCTAAAGAACTAAATGGACTATCTGGAGAGAACCAGAACAGCTTGTGAAAATGCTGGCCCCCCAAAGAAAAGCCTTTCATGTTCTGGCCTATGGGGGCCTCCAGCATAACATCAACATCTGATCCCATCCCTGTTCACCCTAACATAAAGCTGAAAGGCAACTACCTCTGCTACAGACACAGACACACAAACACAAAGAAAGACAGCTTCTTAACAGCCCTCTTATTCCCTCATTCTTAATACAATGAAAATCCAAATATAACCAGGCATCTGAAGAAAGCCTACACAGTGAAAAGAGATTAAAATTTTTAAAAAAATCTAGAATAAAACAGATAATTTAGGGGAAAGAACAGAACGCAAGAAAAACAAAACGAAGCAAAAACACCTCTATTTTCTGAAAAAAAAATATTTTGATCACGGTAAGTTCCCACCAAAACCACCTGAGAAAGCTGAATAAGATATATATTTTTTAATTTTTTAGGCACTGAAAAGCCAACAAAAAAAGGCAAATCCAAAATCCACCGAAGGCAAGAAGACAAAGTAAACCAGCCTCCAAAGTTGTTTCTGCCCTGAGGGTATCTGCCAATCTGAAAGAGGCAGCTGAGAAACTGGACTATGATTTTGGCCAGCTGAGGAAACCAAGAGTCAAATCCCAGAGTCTGTCCAAATAGGGAAAGTCTGATAATCCTCCTTTCTTCAAGCTAGAAAGGCTATACTGTCAGAGGAGGGCTGAACCGCTCAGACTGCCCCAGAGGTTCATGTCCCCCAGTGGTCCAGGAATCCTCCAGCCTTGGATTCGGACCAAGATGATCTAACACTGGTCACCCCCCTAGGTGCCTTGCAAAAGCAAATGAAAATCTTCTTTGGAGAAAGGAATTATTACAAAGGCCTCAAATTATCCAACAAATAATTGTTTCAAGTACAACGACCAGCATACAAGTGAACCACGCATACAAGGGGAAAACGACCATGACACAGTACTAACAGAAACAACAGACAACAAAATCCCTTCTCCTTGGCTTTCTTCAAATCCAAGGTCAACCTCAACAAGCTTCAGCAGAGCTTCTACACTAAGACAAACTAGGAAGAAAGGTGGCAATCTACCAAAATTAGCAAATGAAAACCCTGTAGATCACAATAGAATACTGTCTGATACAGTGCTATAGGATGAGCCCCCTAGGTTGGAAGGCACTCAAAATTGATAGTGGCCTAAACAATGGACTCGGGCATACCAACGATCATGAAGAAGGTACAGGACTGGGCAATGTTTTATTCTGTTGTACATGGTGTCACCGTGAGCCACAGCGAACAGCAGCTAACAACAACAATTAAAAATTCAAGCTAGGCACTACATCATGGTAGAGCACAGTGTCCATATAAAGCAACTAATCAAATATACATCAAATTAACTAGAGAACAATATAAAGCAAATGCTAGATGATATATTAAGAACTACCCCCCCCCATACTATACAAGAGAAAACTCCTTGAAGGCTGGCATGGCAATGGAGTGCAAAAAGGAGGTAGATCTGAGTCAGGTTGGCCTTGGATTTGAAGAGAGCCATGAGGGAAGGAACTGTGGGGTGGAAAACTGCATAAAGTCTCTCCACTTCTATTCCTGACACTTTCCAATTTATTATCCAAATGGCACCAGTGTTACCTCTTTAAACACAAATTGGATTATACCACTCATCTCTGAAAAGTTGGTAATTAAAACTGAATAGGTAAAGTAGGCTCCAACAGGAAGTCAGTCACAGGAAGTTGCTTGCCTTAGGTAGACAACAGAAAAAACAAGTTATTTTTAAGAAAAATGAGTAGACAGAAAAAGAGAGCCTGATGGCAGATCTACAAATTACGAGACTACTCAATAATCTAGGCTTGAAGCTGGCCATGGGAATAATTAAAAAATCAAGTAACTAAAAGACATTTAAAAGAATGTATCAAAAGAATCAGGGGCCTAGGTTGATACAGAGATGTAGAACAATGAACTAAAAAGAGTGAAATGAATAAATCAAGAAAAGATTTCTGAAGGTAATGAGGCTTGAAAGAGGTAATGATAACACTCTAGTGGGGTGAAGGTAAGAGTGAACTGAGGACAAATGGCTTTCACAAAGCCAACCAATCCGAATATATGTAGTGAAGACTAAGCTGATCCAATTTAGGAGTTAAGTGGCAGAAACAGCGCTGAGGGAAGGTAGGTAAAATGAGGTATTTCAAATGTTTGCTATTTCAGTGACAAGATTTACTTAGTATACATGCGTAATTTCAAAATTCCTAAGAAAAAATAGATACAGGGAAGCAGACAGAGGCATAACTAAGGCGTGGCAGGCAGGGAGCATGCCCTGGGCAACGCTTGAGGAGGGGCGCTAACGAGCAGTTTCTATTGGCCAGAGCAATTTCCATTGCCAGCTGTGAGAGATCATTCAGTAATTTAAAACTAATTGCCATGGGCGCTATTTTCCGTAGATAGGCCTCTGCAAGTAGAGAATCTCAATGCTGTAAAATAATCACTTTGCACATTATTGAAAAAGGAACAAGAGGTGACTCTAAATGTTGGCAATCATTTCTGATCTCTAACATTAGGCTGAGGAAGAAGGCTGATATCTAGGGATAGAACCCAAGGTAGGAATCAGACTTCTGAATCCATCTGACTCCACCGGGGTCTTCATATCCCCTCCCATTTCTTTATGGTTAGCAATTTTCAAGTCAAAGTTCTAATTTCACAAGGGAACAAACTGAATCTCACTTGATTTAGCAAGTTTGTTTTTCCTATCTAACAAGAAGTAGAAAGAATTACCCCTACACAAACAAGGAAGAACCAAGCATCCATTTTATAAGGTTTAAACTCATATCATTAGCATGGAAGGTACAGGTGGAAGTGACTGATTACCCACTGATAGCAAACTCACCTTCCAGAAAAGCAAATTCATCCACAGCTTCTATTGCATTATCTGAAACACAAAGAAAAGGACACTTGACTAACTCTGTTCATTTGGACATAAGCCCCAAAACAGCATAACCCACAGGCTGAAGGGCATAAGGCTTTATGCAAATGAGGGTATTTATAAAATTTGCCCCTCGTTGTCTTGAGTCTGCACTTGAGATCCATTTCTACTCCACCACCAATTCTTACACATCTGCTGTCTCTTCACAAGAATTAAGCCAGGATACATACTATTCAGTGAAGAAAACAAAAATGGAACGCTTCCCTGAAATTGACTTATTCTCTTTATTCTGAAAGTCATTAGAGTTTGGCAATATAGCAAGGTGAGTGAGAATGCAGTACACGGAAGCTTACACATGTTTAGAGATTACCAACCAACCAAAGGGGTCAGAAATCAAACCTAGTTTCTAGGGAAAAAAGAAACGTCAAGCCTGGTACAACATAGAAGGTGTGAAGGGGTCTACTCTGCTTTAGCAAACCCTAGTCTCCTTTCATACTCTGCCCCACCATCTCTCCAGCCACCCAAAGCATAGGCACTCTAAAGTTAGGGCTTTCTGACACTGTGACAGGCCAATGGGAAAACATCCCAGTGAGAAACCTTATAGCACCCCTCATATCAGTAATGCCTTCTCAAACAGGGAGAAGGGAAGCGCAGGTAAGCCCTCCTTTGTCCGCCTCAAGATCCCACAAGGGCACTCTACCCAAATCTCTTCTCTGGAGGGTTTTCCTCTTTCCTTGTTGAGCACAGCAATACGCATCTTTTGCAATGGTCTCCACAAACAATTCCTGTGGAGCAAACAAGAAGAGTTTTATCAGTAGATTCCAGCACAGTTCTTTGTGAGCAATGCTGTTTGTTGGAGGGAGGGGGTGTTCTTAGGGAAACTGAAGGTTGTCCTGAATTGCATGAAGGTCTATTCCCCTGCCCTTTATCCCAGCAGCCCAGAATGAAAAGTCCCCTCACTGACTTGTAAATCCACCTCACTCATTCACTTGAGGCACCTATAAGTTGTGTTAGCCACCAAAGATGCAAATTAAAGTCATTGTCCAGGCCCTCATGAAGAGACAGATGTGCGAACAAACCAATGTAATTACTGTAGAGATGTGACCCTTCTCCTCGGTCTTCCCTTCTAACACTTAAATCTCAGCATCTGGCCCTAGCACCTCTGCCAGCTCTGGGTTTCCAAGCAAACCCCGCCCAGATCCTCCTCTTCTTCCTCTCAAGCCGTTATTAAGCCCACCCTGATCGCTCCGCCCCTCGGAAGGCCCCCGAGGCCCCGCCCCTTGCGGCGCTCCCTCTCCCTCCCGCCCCCGTCATTAGCGTGGGCCTAGCGCTAGCGCCGCACCGCGGCTCGTGCCAGAATGAAGATGGCTTCCTGTCCCGCGAGCGTCACGTCGGGGTCCGCCTTCACTAGGGCTTTCACTCGCGCCAGAGGCAGCCTCGAAAGACGAGCCCCAGGCGCATTCGTTGGGGCTTGGGGCTGCGGGGCCGCTGCCTCACCACCAGGCCCCTCCTCCTCTCGGGGTGTCCCGCTTCCAGCCGCCGCCACCGCCGCCATCCCGGCCCCGAACGTGCTGCGCGCGGCCGCTGACTAAGCGCGCGCATGCGGCGCCGGCCCCTTTCCCGCGCCAGTTGGAAGCCACGCCCCCTGTGGGCTCGTGGCCCCGCCCTCAGGCGGTGGGCGAGAACTGGGCGTCGGGCGCAGGGCGTCGTCAGGCCTTGTCTCCCGCTTTCCGTCCCCCAGTGGTCCTCCGACGCTGTCTGGCCTACTTGAGCCCAAGGACCGCCCCTTAGCTAGTGAAAGTGGGGACCGGGGTAGGCTAGTGCTGGGGGAGCACCCAAGTCTGGAGAAACCTAGACCCGGCCAGCGAGAGGGAAGGCCTCGGTCACTGCCGAGTGTCCCCAAGGCTGAGGGACCAAGTGCCCGAGCGAGGGCCGGACGTTCCCAGGAGAACCCAGCACCCGGGCAAGAGGGTACCGAGGAGGCCGCGAAGCCTGAACCAGCGTCGAGGAAAATAAGTTTTATATACTTTTGAAGGAGATGTGGGCCGCTGGTAAGCAGAGATGGAAGAAGTTCAGTCCCGGCAGGGGAAACCATAAGAGAACGGCATGGAGTCTGAAAAGCACGAAGTTAGCGGCGATCGCAAGGTGTCCACGTCTCTTCATCACCGGTTGCATCAGAGCATTGGTTCTCAGACTTTGGTCTCAAGATCTCTTTATACTCTTAAAAATTATTGGGGACCCCAAAGAACTTTTCTGTAGGTTATATCTATCAATAGTTATTGTATTTGAAATTAAAATTTTAGAATATTTAATGTAATAATCTCATGAACATAAATAATATTTTTATGTAACAAATAACTTCAAAAGTATGAAATTTAGTGGGAAGAGTGGCATTGTTTTACATTTTTTTCAAATCTCTTTAATGTCTGGCTTAATTACAAGACATTAGAGTCTATTAGCTGCTAACATTAATGTTAACATTACCACTTTTCACATAGCTCTGGAAAATTCCACTGTATCTTCTTGAGGAAATGAGAATGAAAAAGGCAGATAACTTCTTAGTATTCTTAAGAAAATAGTTTTGACTTCACCTACTCCAGAAAAGCTTTCCCAGGACCCCCACCTCAGGGTCCTCACACCACACTTTGAATCTGTTGGCATAGAGGAATAGTTAGAATTTGCTGTATCAGGTTTAATCTAAATCCGTTCTCTCATAATTGCTCACATTTTTGAGTACATGCTCTGTGCATGATTCAAAGTGCTTTATATCTGTGTAGACCATATTATATAATTTTCACACTACCCTGTTGAGGCAGGTAATATTTTAACCTAATTTTATTGTTGAAATTGAGGCACAGAGTGGTTAATAGTTCACCCACAGCAGAATGTGATGAAGCCAAGATGAAGTTGAATTAGATGACATCTGAAATCACTCTCCATTCCAAACTTACGCGGTACAGTCTGCCTGTGACTGGACTAAAATAGAGACTCCACTACAGCATAGCCCCGATTGTAAAGCTGCAGAAGGGGGGCTCACTGAAATTTCCACTGGAGCCTCCTTTAGGGCCTCAATCCTGAATCTGTTGTTGGATTCCATTTGTGGACACTGCTATGCATAGAAAGCTTCAGGCAAAACCCATAAAAAATAAATAAAACCATGGCTGGATTTTTGTGTCCCACCGCAGTAGAATACTTCACAGAGCAACATTCCAACCAGCTCAAAGTAGTAAAGTACTAATACCAAAAAAAAAAACAAAAACAAACCCATTGCTGTCAAGAAGGTTCCAATTCATGGGGACCCTATAGGACAGAGTAGAACTGCTCCATAAGGTTTCCAAAGCTGTATTTTTTATGGAAGCACACTGCCATATCTTTCTCCAACGGAGCAGCTGGTGGATTTGAACTGCCAACCTTCAGTTAGCTGCTGAGCACTTAACTACTGCGCCACAAGGGCTCCTCCAAAGTACTAACAAAACCTAAATTCTGACTTAACATAATAAAAGAGTTGACCCCTGTGGGGTCAGGATTAGTTAAGATTTCTGAAGGGGGCAAGTCAAATCAGGTTTTGGAAGCTTCTGTCTTGAACCCCCCCTTCTTCCCAATTTTCTCTCGGTCATTCATATTTTTCCTGCCACTCTTTTCTCCCTCCATTTTTCTTCTCCCAGTGCCTCTTTTTTTCCTCATCACTTGAATGTTTTACTACTTGGCCCAGCCCCACTCTCCTTTCCCTGACTTCACTAAAACAGAAGAAGTTTTATTTAGACCACACAGGATTTCCTGTCTATGAGCTTTGGCTTTCTCTGGGTGGTGCAAATGGTTAAGTGTTTGACTAATAGCTGAAAGGTTGGCAGTTCCAACCCACCCAGAAGTACCTCAGAAGACAAGCCTGGCAATCTGCTTCCAAAATGTCAGTCTTAAAAACCCTATGGAGCAGTTCTACTCTTGCACCCATGGAGTTGTCCTGAGTTGGAATCACTCTGTAGCAACTAACAACAACAAAAACAAGATGTGTTGGAAAGGGAAATCATGCTTGACTGTCTTTAATAAAATTTTAGTGGCAAAAAGGCAGAGGAAGATTAAAACAAGGACAAACTTTAAATCTAGAATATTAACCCACCAAAGGAAAACTGTTTAAAAAGATGTCAGACAGGAAGACAAAGTTAAAAAAAAAAAAAAGTTTAGGAAAAGAAAGGCTTACATATCAGTTCAAATAAAATAGGGCTAAAAAATACCTTTAAAAGCTACAAGAATATTAGTGCAAAAAAGAAATGTCATATGAAACGTAATAAACTAGTGGTTTACCAGCTTACCGTCTACCCTGCTAGGGTAAGAGTTCTATCCAGGAGATACGTATGCAAATAAGACCAGTAATACTTCGTTTCTAAATTATCTTAACAAAACACTTGTATATATATTTATGTGTGTATTGTATATAAAAACTCAAACCAAACCCGTTGCCATCAAGTCAACTCCAACTCACAGTGACCCTATAGGACAGAGTAGAACTGCCCCATAGAGTTTTCATACATGTATATTGTTGTATATACATTTTATGTGTTTGTGTGTAACACATACACATGTAGAGGGTCAATTGTTTTTAAAAAATCATGGGGAAAACAGAGCATAGCTAGGATAAACAATCCATGTTGTTGTTGTTGCTAGGTGCCATCAAGTCAGTTCCCACTCATAGCGACCCTATTTACAACAGAATGAAACACTGACCAGTCCCGCACTGTCCTTAAAATCATTGCTATGCTTGAGCCCATCATTGCAGCCACTGTGTCAATCCATCTTATTGAAGGTCTTCCTCTTTTTTGCTGCCCATCTACTTTACCAAGCATGATGTCCTTCTCCAGGGACTGGTCCCTTCTGATAATATGTCCAAAGGACATGAGACAAAGTCTCGCCATCCTCACTTCTAAGGAGCATTCTGGCTGTACTTCTTCTAAGACAGATTTGTTCGTTCTTCTGGCAGTCCATGGTATATTCAATATTCTTCGCCAAACTATAAACCAAAAACCAAACCCGTTCCGTCGAGTCAAGGACAGTTTGAAAGGGAAAGGGTAAAGAGGAAGAATAAATTATCATTAGTTTGGCCACATGAGTCCCTGGGTGGTGCAGACAGTTAACATACTTGGCTGCTAACAGAAAAGTTGGAGGTTCAAGTCCACTCAGAGTTACCCTGGAAAAAGGCCTAGTGACCTACTTTTGAAAAATCAGCCTTTTTTAACCCTATGGAGCATAATTCTACTCAGACTTACATGGGGTTGCCATGAGTTGGAATCGACTCAATGGCAACTGTTTTTGTGGTTTTTGGTTTGGCTTGGCCATAGAAATCTGGGATGCAGGAATGCTTAAACACTTAAAAGTCAACCAATCAGAGGGGGGAAAGTATGTTGAGGAAAAGAGAACAAAAGATGCAAAGGAAAAGCTTACTCTTAACTCAATGTTTAAAGAAACTGTAAATTGTTTAGACATGGTTCCCAACCTTTTCCCCCGAATTTTGATTGAAATGACATAGACTCAATGTGGTCTCTGAGGCTTTGCATGACAGGCTCCTCCAGTCTCTCCAGCCCCACTTCATACCACGTTCCCTCCTCTCTGCACTCAAGTCATGAAGGTTTTGTCTTTAGCTCTTCAGCAATTCTGCCTAGAAAGCTTTTCTCATCTTCCTTCAAATGCTAGCCTCATTTCTTTGTAGAAGTCTTCCCTGACCAACCCAGCCTCCCACAGGACCAGGTTAAATCACTCATACCACTGAAGACCTTCCCTTCATACTAGGTGGCAATCATACAGATAGATGCATACAGATTGCATACCATACATATTGCAATCCTGCATTTACCGGTGTGATTATATGATTAATGTTATCTCCTTCCCTCCCTCACCATCCCCAGACTTCCCTCCCTTACCATCCCCATTAGGGCAAGATTCTGTCTGCTTTTACTCATTAAGTTACTAGCCTATGGTACAGTACCTGGCGGTTAGTCAGTGTTTATCTTAGCTATCTAGGGCTGCTATAACAGAAATACCACAAGTGGATGGCTTCAACAAACAAAAATTTATTCTCTCACCATCTAGGAGGCTAGAAGTCCAGATTCAGGGTGTCAGCTCCAAGGGGAAGTCTTTCTCTCTGTGTCAGCTCTGGAGAAAGGTCCTTGTAATCAATCTTCCCCTGGTCTAGGAGCTTCTTAGTGCAGAACCTCAAGGCCAAAGGACGCACCCTGCTCCCGGCGCTGCTGTCTTGGTGGTATGAGGTCTCCCTGTCTTTCTTCTGTCTTCTCTCTTTTATATCTCAAAAGACATTGGCTGAAAACACAAAAACACAACCTAATCTTGTAGATTGAGTCCTGCCTCATTAACATAACTCCCTCTAATCCAGCTTCAGTAACATCATAGAGGTAGGATTTACGACACATAGGAAAATCACATCAGAAGACAAAATGGTGGACAATCACACAGTACTGGGAATCATGGCCTCACCAACTTGACACACATTTTGGGGGAACATAATTCAATCCATGACGTTGCTCAATAGGCATTTACTGAATGAATGAGTCATTAACAGTGGCTCACCTGGAATT